CTCAACTGTGACAATGCTTGGAAAGGCGCGACACACATCTGAATCCCCGTTCACAATATACGTTTTGTCAATATGTACCAAGTATGACCCCATTGAGCTACCTCTAAATATAAATATTTTTTGATAAAATTTCATACAGATCATTTTTTCGTGAGGTAGAACAATATGGCTACCCGTCCCGGTCGAAATAAAAAAAGTCGAAATTAAGTGCCACCCTAGTGATGGGGCATGGGGCCCAGGGGCGCCCCCATGGGGGCGTGGGACGGAATTGGGTTCTACCGGCGCTGGCGCTAGCCGCTAGCACGCCAGAACTGGTGGAAGTTCACTTCTTCACTAACCCTCGCTGGGAGGATCACTCGGCGGACCGAGGCACCGGCTCATTTGCGGCCTCGATGTCCCTAGGCAGCTGGCAGTGCCTGACTAGACGGTCTGCGCACCCCCCGTTCCGGTCGCAGCTTCCGGACAGCCACTTCGCTACCGCATTGCCGACAGTAGGTGGCGCCTGCCACAAGGCGCGCTGACGAGTTGCAGGACGTCTGCGGGAAGACATGAGGGAAAATCAGACATTCAATTCATGAAAAAATCACAAAAATACCTGCACCACTTTCCGTAACAGTGCGACAGGCTAGATCAAACATGTCAACACCTTAGAGGCTAGAGCTACAATGAACTATAGCCTAGACCGCACGATATTACAAGGCGCAATCTTGCAAATGCTACTCGTAAATGGTACTTTGACTTACCAGTCAAAGCAACAATCGCATCAAACGCAGACAACTTGCGCTATCTTTCATCTTCCAGCTATCTCAGCCGCGCCCGCCGCCGGCCCTCACTGCTCGCTCGCGCCGCGTAGACTGCGGCTCGGCCGGCTGGCTCTGAACGCCGGCCGGTGACACTGACGTCACGGCCCCTCAGGCGAGGTCAGGGCGCGAGCCACCGTTCGCCTGAGTGGCGGCCCGCGTGGCTTGCTGGCAGCCGCGGATAACAGCCGCGTTTACATAGGGATAGTTGCAAGCCTCTAGCTCCGCCTGCGATGTTGCAAAACATGCCAATGACGCTTTGCAATTTACACATGTTATATATATATATATATATATATATATATATATATATATATATATATATATTAGAGAGAGATAGAGAGAGAAAGGTATCATAATTTACTTGTAAAAACACCGCTAATTATTCAGTACCTATAATGTCCAGGTTGTGAAAAACCGTTTTAACAACGTGTTGGCGACCACCAGCTGACAACGTGAACAGTCCAAGTGTTAAAATATGTCAAATTTAACGATGAAAACTGAATATGCGCATTGAAAGTCAAAGGAAATGCATTATATGGCCATATATGCCACCATGCATTATCAAAATATAATGCTGCAAGTGCGCGGTTGCTGCAACGTACCAATAAAACGTTGTCACGACGTTTTACCACGACTTTCGGACCAAACCATGGCTTCACAACGTTCAGAACGTTGCTACAACGTAATTAAAACGTAATTTCGCAACTTACCGAAACACCACGTTGTGACAACGTTGTAGTAACGTTTCCTGTTAGCTGGGTATTAACATTTTAACGGGAAACGGCGGGGTCTTTCGATTTGGCTGAAAATTGGTATACAGGGCCTCCTCGATGCGCTGATTCCGAAAATGTACCTCTTTGGGGTGGTATTTTGCACCGTTAACGAGTTAACGGCATATTAACATTTTAACGGGAAACGGCGGGGTCTTTCGATTTGGCTAAAAATTGGTATACAGGGCCTCCTCGGTCCTCGATGCGCTGATTCCGAAAATGTACCTCTTTGGGGTGGTATTTTGCACCGTTAACGAGTTCACGGCCAATTAACATTTTAACGGGGAACGGCGGGGTCTTTCGATTTGGCAAAAAATCGGTATACAGGGCCTCCTCGCTGCGCTGATTCCGAAAATGTACCTCTTTGGGGTGGTATTTTGTACCGTTAACGAGTTAACGACCAATTAACATTTTAACGGGAAACGGCGGGGTCTTTCGATTTGGCTGAAAATCGATATCCAGGGCCTCCTCCATGCGCTGATTCCGAAAATGTACCTCTTTGGGGTGTTATTTTGTACCGTTAACGAGTTAACGGCCAATTAACATTTTAACGGGAAACGGCGGGGTCTTTCGATTTGGCTGAAAATCGGTATCCAGGGCCTCCTCGATGCGCTGATTCCGAAAATGTACCTCTTTGGGGTGGTATTTTGTACCGTTAACGAGGTACGACCAATTAACATTTTAACGGGAAACGGCGGGGTCTTTCGATTTGGCTGAAAATCGATATCCAGGGCCTCCTCCATGCGCTGATTCCGAAAATGTACCTCTTTGGGGTGGTATTTTGTACCGTTAACGAGTTAACGGCCAATTAACATTTTAACGGGAAACGGCGGGGTCTTCCGATTTGGCTGAAAATCGGTATCCAGCGCCTCCTCGATGCGCTGATTCCGAAAATGTACCTCTTTGGGGTGGTATTTTGCACCGTTAACGAGTTAACGACCAATTAACATGTTAACGGGAAACGGCGGGGTCTTTCGATTTGGCTGAAAATCGGTGTACAGACTACAGAGCCTCCTCGATGCGCTGATTCCGATTTCGGAATCAGCGCATCGAGGAGGCCCTATATAGCAATTTTGAGCCAAATTGAAACATCCCGAAATATGCTGCTGTGAGGCTGATATTCGTTGCTGCTGAATTGACAGACGTAAATAATACAGGCAAAAGCCATAGGTTTCTTATAGCAAATATTGAATATGCTGCAGCAAAAAAAAAATTGATCGTTATTTTATTTATAGTCACCGTGGTTATTTTGTTTCCTGGTTGGCTAAAACTTCACGGCTGTACGGTCGCCTCGGTACGGCAGTACCGAAGCAGTACCGGAGGTACCGAGAGCAGGCGACCCAACCATACTTCACGGCAGTAAGCTTGGCAGTACGTTCGCCTCGGTACTTCGCGCAACGGGACAACAAAAGTTCATCCAAAGAGCCCAGCAACGCCCAGAGGCGTAGGTAGCATTTTATCTGTTTACTTTGAAGCAGCTTTGCAATACTGTCTACTGTCTGGTCTACCTACTCTTTTTGAAGGTGGGCCTACATTGCCTGCACTCTGCTGCTAAGCAGGTTACTACTTAGCTGCTCTGCTACTGCTTATTTATAGTCACCGTGCTGCTTAGAAATACTTTGAAATTGGTACATACATACTTGCTCTTATTTCACCTTCTTCTACATAGTTTCTACCCTGAGAAAGTAGGGTAAGGTGCCTAATTAGCGACCCTTTCCTATTTGCGACCTACCTCCATACAGAAAAACTGGTAGGAGAAATCGTGGTAAAAACATTGTCAAAAGGTGAGGCATATTTCGGTTATCAAACTAAATTATTTTCCGGTTGTCGGTGTTTCTGGTGGGACGTTTCAAGTGAGTTAAAATAAAAATGACGAGTTTCTTATCCAAAACGTGTGTATTTGGGCCCTCTCTGATGAAAAGCGATGCACATTAGTGTGATGCACCTTTTTTATTCTGAATCGACAATCCTTTTTCAATTGATTGCCGTTTTTCCATAGTGAATCGCTTAACTGTGCACTGCATGGTGGTTAAAAATGTGTTGCAACTCATATTTCCTATTTGCGCCCGACATGGTCGCAAATAGCTCAAAAAGGGAAAGACAGGAGAAAAGAGAAAAATGAAAATGACGTGTTGCTGAAGCTTGCGATGTGTGGCGGGGGATACCAAATGTCGTCACCGAATGCAGGGCTTCTGAATCCAGCGCGGGCCTCGAATATCATACGAGGTAGCCCGCAAAATTTGGGTTTTCGCCTTCTTTTCGTCTTTGGTGCATCACGTGATCAGTTTTTACTTACGTAAACGTATTGGATAAACGTTCCTGTTCGAGTGATTGAGTGCTTTGCGTATAGGGTACCTTTTTGGGTTCATATTTCATCTTTTCAGGCGTCGCATTTTTTGCCATTTTTAATATGGGAAAACCCATAGACTTATTAGCGACCCTCCCCGGTCGCTAATCGGGACGAGTTCCCTATTAGCGTTTTTTGCAATGGTTTGCCAAAATGCTCACTACAAAGAAATTGGTGGATATTGGGGGAGAACATGACTAGATTTTAATAGAAAAATGAACGATCTCTCCGAAAATCAAGCCAGTAATACAGTGGCACCCATAGAGCGTGAGCAATGACGGTTCAAATTAAGGGGGTCGCTAATTAGGCACCTTACCCTAAACGTTTCTGGGGCGTTCACGTAACTAGTTACAGTTCAGTGCTAGTTACCTAGGTACTATTCTTGATAACTCATCACGGATTCCCGCATTCGCTTTTGTTTTGCCTTTCATCGAAATGCCTCGTTCATTCATCTGAACCCCTCGTTACTTCACCAACTTCATTTATCCAAAGCATCCTTCGATCATTAATTTTCAATGAGGTACGCATCATGTTCTCTGTTGGGGCCTTGGTAATGGTGCCGAAGCGATTATAGGGACCCTCCCACCTTAACATTAGATTTGAGTTGAGATAGCCAAAATGGGGTCCCTGGCTCACAATTACCGGTTTCGGCACTCACAACATCGAGAAATGCCTTAAATCGGAAATATTGAATTTCAAAATTGCAGCATTTTGATTCAGAGGGGCTAATGCATAGGAATACCCCTCTGAATGTGTGACGTCAGCGCAGATATCTAACGATTTTTAAATGTTTGACTAAAACGTTTTGTAGCACGCGGTGGTATATGCTGCTTTGCGCGCAACAAGTGCCGCACTTTTAACTGCCAAACTATTGTTTGCAAATAAAGTCGCTAGGAACAGCTGAGATCCCAAAAAGTAAACAAAAGTAAAAGTCTAATATCTTGAAAACCGGTGAATATTTTTCGGTGAAATTTGGTAGATATTCGTTTTCGCTCTTTCTGAACCGAGCGACATCACTTTCATGCCAATTCATAAACTTTTTTGAAGGTGGGAGGGTCCCTTTAATATCAAACTATGAGCACAATTGAATTCGCCTGTATTTGGTCGCATAATATCAGATCCAACACATTTCAACACGACAAAATGGGCATTCAGGGTCTATGAACTATCTAAACACATGAACAGTCTCAACTCTCAACACCTGCCGCTAATCCCGCACGCATTGACTGTTCGCTCTCATTCTGATAATGGGAAAAGCCGCGAAGCAAAATTCGTCAGAAGACATACACACAGGCGAGATCTACTGTGCTCATCTGCTTCCTCACAGAGAGAAGGGTAAAGCGTTCCACCACGACACTCACACATAAACACTTGTTCGCTCGTCGGCATGTTGCCTGCGGTGAGGCCAATCTCCGAACGATCACTGGCTAAAGCTCTGTGTCACCGAACTAGCTATCTCACACACCAAAAGCAAATCCTGGCATTCTGTCTTTGACGACAAAATTCAAATAATATAGTCCATCACAAATCGACTAAGACAGTCAGAGCAAAGTCCAGAGACACTACACAGCAAAGCACACCACTGAATTACACATGCATGTCTGATCACAAATGCTACATTCTCTGAAATAAATTACTACACGAGCTACTCGCTAAAACGCGTGTGAAGAGCGCGACGTGCTCACACCAGTATGATACAGTGGCGGTCCCTGTGGTCGGTCGCGAGGCGCCGCTCGCCCCTGGAAGTTCGGCGCCCGGACACCGGGGACAGCCTCCGTTTTGTACAGGCCGCCGAGCGGCGGCGAATGGGAGGCGCGCCCGCGCGGTCTCGAGCGGCGCGCCACCTGGCGGCGCGCCGAGAAACCACCGCGGGGGCGCCATCGTCGCTCTGTGTGCAGCCGCGTCCGGCCCGCCGCGCTGGTGATATGTGCTCCCGTGTCGGGGTCGGCCGGCGCTCGGCCGCCCCTCACAGCCTCGAGTGGCGCCGTGCGGCGGCCCCGGCTACCGGCGCGCCCGGCTCTTGCCCTGTTCGTCTCGCAGCAGCTCCTGGTACATGGGCGACTGCAGGAACCGGGGGAAGATGTCGCTCTCCATCAGGTGCTGCACGCGCCGCTGCGCCGCGTCGAACAGGTGAGCGTCGGGCGCGCTCAGACCGCTCTGGATCGCCGTCCGTGTGGCAGAGTCCACGTTTATCTGAGGGAGACAGAGGAAGGCTGTGTTAGATAGGTCGGCAGCACTAGAGGGGGAGCGTAATAACCGTCATCAAACGGCTATCACTGCAGCTTATGAACATTATCTGAGAACGGGATGCGGAACCAGACAGTGAATAGCACCTCCGCAGAATTTCTCCCCTCCGCTACGTGACTGAAATTCGACGATGACTGTCACTCTAACGCAGCGATATCGAGCTCGCTGGGGCGATATCGCTCGGGAGAGGAGGTGCGAGGAATTCGGGCGAAACTTGGCCCATCTGTCTGGCCTCTGATCCCGAGTCGGAAGAGAGGCGCCCGGCGCGCGGGGCCGCGCCGGGCGTATCGCCTTATTTGGATGATTTATTCGCGCCGGTATACCATTGAGGCGGGGGCCGACTCGGGCGGTCGGAGCTGAATCGCTCTGATGATGACGTTATCCTTGACTACAGCGCCGCTTGCATCAGGTAGACGTACGTACAAGGTCCCATGAGACCACCAGCGGCTATTCATGACAGCTTATGACAATGGACGGCCACTAATGTTGCCGGCGTACAATCGGTTCACCCCGTTCTCAGTACCCTTTGGAACTACTGTGAGGGCGTCTGTTAGGAGGAACCGCAGCGGCAGAGGGCGGCATGACAAAGCGCTCTCACCTCTCGGGGGGCTTGCGTGACGAGGAATTCATTGTAGATCTGCAGAGCTTTGGCAGCCATCTTCGAGTGTCTGGTCTTCTTGAAGTCCTCGACGGCCAACCAGAACTCGAGATTTTCATCGGCAAACTCCTGTGACAGGAACGCTCTGAATAGGGCAACCCCATCTGAAAGAGAGGCGTGCACGTTAGTTCACATACTCATAAATTCAGCTCTGTCAACATTGACAAACACATTCACGTTCGGCGGCCGCTATGGCTGGCAGGTATGACGTCAAATGCCCATTTCAGCAGGGCGTGAAGCGCTCGGCGCTGCCTGCTATTCGCTGCCGCCATTGACAGTCGAACTGCCGCCGGCGGCCGCGCCGTGCAGAGACGATGGGCGATAACCCGAGTTAGCTGGAAACCGAGCCCGCTACGGAGAACCGGCGCCGCACCCCGAACGGGCCAGTGTGTATGTACAGTACGACAGAAGGCCGATACGTATGCATGACTGAGAGGCTCCCGGCCACCCCGGCCCGATACCAGCACAGATTTCACCGGTCGGCACTGTCGGCATTGCACCGGAAACCGTGCCCTTGCTCTCGACCGACCGGCATCACCCTCCACCGATCCGCCGAATGCTAATGAGGCTTCCGGTATTATAATCCACATCTACCCTCTCAAGGATTTTATCTCCCCGAATTCCAACCCCACCCATCGCTCGTCATCCCGCTGAAGTCGAGGTCGGTACTCACATTTAGAGTTGACCAGGTTGACGAAGGAGGCAGCCCACTGCTGGGCCTGCGCCCGGTCCGGCCGGACCGAAATGCTGTTATCACTGCGGCGCCTCCGGAGAAAACCCAGCCTCTGCCGGCAGTGTCGCACCGCACTGCGGACGGAGAGAAGCGTGCGGTCAGATAGGGCGAACGGAGACAGAGACAGAGTGGCACGCGCGGTGAGATAGAGCGGACGACAGAGACAGAGGGGTGCGCACGGTCAGATAGGGCGCCGATACGGGCTGACACGGACAGGCGGAGGACGGGGCAGAGACCGGTGCCAGATCGGTAGAGGCAGAGGAGAAGAGAGGAGAGGAGAGGAGAAGGAGATACGGAGAGAATGGCGAAGAGGTGAGGGTTTTGCGCGGCACAGCACAACGCGACACACGATACAGCACCAATGTTCACTGCACGGCACCACACGGGAGAGCACAAACTAAATAAATCGATATCACTCGACACACGCCGCATTTGGCACAGCACGACAAAAAGTCCTCCGCCCCAGTAACAGCGCGCACCACAGCTGGTCTCCCGGGCAGCAGGCGGGGGAGGAGGGCGCGCTCGCCGCGGCCGTCCTCCAACTGAGCTCCGGCCGCGCCCACCCACCCCCACCCGCGTCGGCCAGCGTCTGACGCACGCGGCGGCCTCCGAGCCAGCTCTGTGTCGCTATCGCGCGCTGCCGGCGGCGTCGGCTCGGCGTGACGGCCGCGCTCTGCCAGCCGAGCGGTGCCGACCGCTCCCCGCTCCCTGCCGAGCGCCGCCGGCACGCCCCGCCGCCACCGGAGCCGTGTGCCGCTCCGCCGCCCGAGCTAACGCGACACAGGTGGCAATCCTGTGAGAACGGCGCCGAATGGTCGACCCGAATCGCACGGCGCAGCGCTGTGGGTGCCGCTGCCGGCGCTGCCGATGGGCTTTCACTGCGCGCTGCAACGCCGCATTGACAGAAAATCGAGGGCGGCTGGCAATGGTTGCTGACGTGGGCGGAGCGGGCGGAGCTCGCCGGCCCCGTCGACGTGCAAGGCTGCCGCTGCCCAGCGACGATATATGGAGGGTACGGCCCACTCGTGAGAAGTCGGCACATAAACCAGCCTAAACCGTGGCTGAGGTCGATCGCAGTCGTTGCCATTCAAGGGCGCGCGGCCCAGCCAGGTGCATAGCCAAATGCCAGTGATAAGCGTTAGTGGGGGTAATTGAAATCGTGCTGTGAACAGTGATCAGAGGCACTGGGCCGCCAGCATCGTGCATGATAAATGATGTGATCGTTTGAAAGACTTGCCAAGTTTCGATGATAGAGCACGTTACCGATCCAGTTGATAGTTCTCGTGCAGTGGGACGGTATAATTAAACTATATTAACGATCATCACGAGGACTTAGCGTTCCTCGGCAAAGCTAATGAGGAGCGTTGCGTGCTTGAACTAACCTTTTATCATCTCGAGTTACGGAGTGCACTTCTCAAAGAGGTCGAGTCGTCTACATATTTCCGAATTTTCAGTACCTACCGGTGTCGGCAAAGGATATTGGGCGGCAGCCTAATGTGTACAGATGTGGTACAGCGGGATCCAATAGCGCTAATGAAGAAGCCCTGCCCTCTGACTGTGTCCGGGAGGACAGCGGCAGCGCGGTGGACCGGAGCCCATCTGACGGCCGTTTTCCGGAACCCCACATAATCACAGACTCCCCGTACCAGCTGCTCCGGCCGGCCCGCGGCACTGCACGGGCGCTTTGCGGGCTGCCGTCTACCACGGCCGCCTGATTACGTCAGGTGTTATTGGTCGGCGGCAGCGCGTCTGGTCCGCTACGACAGCCGGCGACCGTCTCCCTTCCTCTCCCTCCCGGATATAGCAGAGGGGGGAGTGCGTGTCGCCCCCTCCCCCTCGTTCGCCCCCTCTTTCCGACACACAGTGGCACAGAGTGTCACGAATGTCATTTAATGTCACCGCGGTAGGCACCAGCTAGTACCGGCTGCCAAAGGGCAGGTGACGCATACAGAAAACGAGGAACACCGGGGGCTTATTGAAAGGGAAACCCACCGCGGAAAGGTTTCAGCCTTGCACATAGGTACTGCATCGCGCTGGCGTGCCAGGTGTGGGACAGTTGACGGGAAGATGATTGTAACATGGCACAGTCACGCTTCTGGGTGACACATACCCAGCCAAATTTACCAGGAAAGTGTGATTAAACTGTGTCAGACACCTAAAAATTGTTGCGTAGAACGCGCGCGCGAATTAGTCCCGAGTTCTACCGGACCGGATGTCTGTATGTTAATCACCCTGAGGTGCTTAGGCGTATGACGCGCGTGGCGAACTGCGCCGTTCGCCCTCGGGGCTCAGTGCGTAATGCACGCGGTCGCCCACATGTGGGATCTCCGCCCCCGCCGGGCTGATTACAAATCGTAATGACCGGATGTCGCTAGGAAATCCCTGCGTGGGACTGAATGGGCGGCAGTGGCGCTCCTCGACGTCCGAGGTCAGTGTTGGACATGCTCGCCGCCCGACCTGAGGGGGCCAGGTCAGGTCAAGGTCGGGGCACCGGACGCCGCCTCGCGCCACGCGCTCCCAGGTCCGGGATCACCGGATGCTCGGGCAGGAAGCACGGTCTACTAGCGTGCAACAGCCGGAGAGGACGTGCGCGCCTTGGCGGCGACTTCCCACATCCTCCGTAGTCCGTACCGTCTTCTCATATCCTCCGCGGCGGCTGACCCCATCCGGACCGGCGACACCAGAGGAAACCGCGACTGACGCACGAGCTGCACCAGTACGAGGAACAGAATCCGGCCGGCGCCGCAGACTGTTGACGCACCCGCCGGCCGGCCCACAGGGCAGACGCGACGGGACGGAAAGTCCGAGAAGATCCCAGCCGGCTTGTTTCCGATTGGCTTTATTGGTCATCAGAGCCTCGTATATAATCAGCAAACATCGCCGCTACAGCTAATGAGATCGCCGTTAGTATGATATTGACAGTGAACAAAGCGATGCCCTGTCATTATTGAATTGGGGAAACATGCGTCATGCTCTAGTTAATGACGTCAGTAGTACTTTCTCTACATGTTAATTAATGTCACCCCGCACCCGTGCACTGGGGAATATCCACGCACCGTTTCCTCATATAAGTGTCTCCATATATGACGATTCGATGTGCTTGAAAGCACTTGACATGGATGGCTTTGCCTGTGGTTTTGCCGTAATGTTTGAGGATTTCCGAACAGATAGCTCCATATTGAAGTGGAGAGCACTTCAACGTCATCAGTTCGCGATCAAGTGTCCCCGATTACCCCAGTGAGGTCACTCGTGCGCCCACGGGTAGGGAGGGGCGGGAGGGGAGAAGTCCGTATGACTAGGTCTCGCTGGTAATCGGGCGTTACAAATCAGATAAGGTATGTAACTTATCAGCACTTACTAAGGAATCTGAGCTTTCGTGATCGTATTGAGAGAAAGTGTGTAACCGGAACGGAAGTGAAGCAATAACCGGATACTGAAGCTTGGAGTGGGGGGAGTTCTTTCGCACAGTTCACACCGAAACGTTTGAGACTGTTAAGTAATGTTTACGTTTTAAATTTTTCTGTTTGGAAAGAGTGGGCGCAGCGAGTACATGATAAACGAAAAGACGTTAAAAGGCACATGAACAGTATCAAATGAAAGGCATTAAGGTAAACTAAATAAGCAATGAGGCCGGCATAACATAAGTTTACAAGGGAAGCTTCGATGTGCAATGGACTAAAAGATAGGCTAAATGTGTCACCTGCACTTTAACTTGTAAGACGCAAAATAAAAATTGTAATAAAATCATGCGCATGATAAGAAGTCCGGGCGAGGGATTCACAGCACATTTGCATATACGCTACGGCGCGTAACAGCAGGGGCATTCCACGATAGATCGACCAAAGCCGTACACCCTCATATTTTATTTTTTGCTTAAAATTGGTCTAATGGGTTGTGATGGGCGGGGAAGCCAGCTGAGCCAAGGATTTTTTTCTTCGAACAACGGTTTCCGAGATATAGCCTCAGGCAATTCCTGGAGGTCACGCTGCAACCCTTTGTTTGGCGGCTTATAACTCAGAAACTATTGGTTTTCTATGGTAAAAACTTTATATGGTTCAACTCGCAAACAACCAATAAACGTTTTGGCTATCTCGGATTTTCGATTTTTGAAAATTTTGATCACGTGACATCTTGACTTTTTTCGAAGAGTGACCTTGATATTTTCCCAACTGAAAGTCGCAATTTTGTCTGATGACGATTAAAGCCTTATCAATTGTCATTCATATGCGACAATAAAAAAGTGGCTTTCGGCCTGCATTGACCTGAGATCAGGTCATTTTTGTGACCTGTCCTTTAAGTCAATGGCAGAAATATCGGCTAGCACCGAATCTGACCGGTTCAAACGCATCTGACCGGTTCAAATACTTTTGAATCATGTTGAGTTACTGTTAAAGGGACCCTCCCACCTTAACATTAGTTTTGAGTTGAGATAGCCAAGTTTACGGCCAGGCTCAGAAACCACCATTTATCCTGGTCGCAACCCCCGCAGCTTTATGGTGTTCAAGAAATTTCTTCCCTTTACTTGCAGGGTGGGACCAGCGTGGTCCCTATCTCTTAAAGGGACCCTCCCACCTTCAAAAAAGTTAATGAATTGGCATGAAAGTGATGTCGCTCGGTTCAGAAACAGCAAAAACCAATATCTACCAAATTTCATCGAAAAATATTCACCGGTTTTCAAGATATTAGACTTTTACTTTTGTTTACTTTTTGGGAGCTCCGCTGTTCCTAGCGACTTTATCTGAAAGTGCGGCATTTGTTGCGCGCAAAGCAGCATATACCACCGCGTGCTACCAAACGTTTTAGTAAAAGATTTAAAAATCATTAGATCCCCACTGACGTCACAAATTCTAAGGGGGCATACCAATGCATTAGCCCCTTAGAATCCGAAAACTGCAAGTTTGAAATTTCATATCTCCGAATTAAAGCATTTTTCGATGTTGTGAGTGCCCAAACCGGTATTTTCAGGCCATGGCCACCAATTTGGCTATCTCAACTCAAAACTAATGTTAAGGTGGGATGGTCACTTTAACCATTACGGGAATCTGATGACGTCAGCAGGCTTTCGAACGTCCGT